AATTTTCCACCTCAGTGAAGTTTTCCCAAAACTGAGCCGACATCAAAACAACCAAATATCGGTATCTACTCTCAAATCGCCTGCATCATAAATGACTGCCTACGTATCCCATTATCCAAGGAATCAAGCCTTTACGTAGTTCACCCAAATGGCCGTCAACGGCCTCAATAATCACGAATATGCAACAAGCTTCGACAATGATCAAATTTGTTGCTCAGAACCACCTTAGTGAGCATATCCGCAGGATTATCCTTCGTGTGGACTTTCACAATCTCCACATCGCCATCTTCAAGAACATCTCGAACGAAGTGATAACGAACGTCAATGTGCTTCGTCCTCGCATGAAAAATCTGATTCTTCACCAAATAGATAGCACTCATGTTATCACAATAAATAGTGACGGATCGCTGCGATATACCAAGTTCCTCCAAAAGTCCCCGAAGTCAAATAGCCTCCTTCACAGCCTCCGTAATCACCATATACTCTGCCTTCATCGTAGACAAAGCCACCGTAGACTGTAAGGTGCATCTCTAACACACCGGCGTACGGGTCAAAGTGAACACATACCCCGTCGTAGACCGACGCTTATCCAAATCCCTGGCATAATCCGAATCAACATAGCCAATACACAACTCAAAATCCATCTCATGGTGTCCCAATGATCCACTCCTAGATCGTGCATGTATCTTGAAACCATGCTCACCGCCTGTGACAAATCCGGCCTCGTACATACCATCGTATACATCAAGCTCCCAACCATGGTCGCATATGGAATTTTCAACATCAACTCTCGGTTTTTAACTGACTTTGGTGAAAGACCAGCTGAAAGCTTCAAATGGACTCTCAAAGGTACACCAACTGGCTTCGTATCTATGCTAACATGGAATCGCTGTAGAACTTTCTTCAAATAAGCTACATGTGTCAAACAAATTCTGTCATTCTTCTTGTCTCTGCCGATTTTCATCCCTAAAATGCGCTTTGCCTCACCCAAATCATTCATCTCAAACTCCTTTGAAAGCTGTGCCTTCAACTCATCTATAGCATATCTGGAAATAGAGGTAACCAACATGTCATCGACATAAAGTAATAAATAGATGTACGCATATTCTTTTAACTTGCAAAAATATACGTAAGGATCAAACTGGCTCCGAGTGTATGAATGACTAATCATAAAACCATCGAATCACATATACCACTGTCGAGGAGACTGCTTCAAATCGTATAACGATTTCTTCAATCTGCAAACTAATTTTTCTTTTCTTGCAACACAGAATTCCAATGACTGAGTCATATATATTTCTTCATCAAGATCACCATAATGAAATGCCATTTTCACATCAAAGTGATCTAACTCCAAACCATACTGTACCACTAAAGCTAACAAAATCCGAATCGAAGAGTGCTTCACCACCGAAGAGAAAACCTCATTATAGTCAATACCTTCCTCCTGTGCATAGCCCTTCACAACCAACCTAATTTTGAACCTTAATGGAGTGCCCTCAATGCCCTCCTTCTTTGTGTATACCCACTTGCAACCAATTGCCTTCCGTCCCTTTGGAAGCTCAACAATCTCCCACATATCATTCTTGTGAAGAGACTCCATCTCCTCCTACATAGCTACCTGCCACGAATCAGCCTTCGAACTCTGCTCGGCTCTCTGAATGTAGCAGACACCATCTCATTGATACTCTCTACCGGAAGTGTATACGTAACTGTGTCGGCATACCGTGTTGGCATCTGTATATCTCTCTGCTGTCTCCGAACCATAGTAGAATTCTGAACCTGAGCCGTCGGTCCCTGATCCTGCAGATCAGTACTCGTATCCTCTGTGTCACCGTCATGCTCACCTGACATCACCTCAGTCGGCACTCTAATGGATACTGTACCATTTGAACAATGTGGAGCTGCATCGATCTCCATCACCTGCGATATCTCCTCCGTCGGGTCGCTCTCCACTTGATGAGAGCTGGGAAGCTTCAAGATAGAAGCCTGATCGAACGTGACGTCCCTACTCAGCATAATCTTTCTATCAATTGGAACCCATAGCTTGTATCCCTGGACACCACGCTTGAATCCTACAAATATAGCCTTCCTAGCTCGAGGTTCTAATTTATCTGTTCTCACATGATAAAATGCAGGGCACCCAAATACCTTGAGCTGGTCATAGTTGTGTGCTGGCTCTCCCGACCACTTATCCATAGGGGTTTTCTCCTCAATCGCAGATGAAGGCAGCCTATTAATGAGATAACTCGTATATGTAAGTGCATCAGCCCAAAAGATCTTCTCCAAACCACTTTGTGACAATAATCATCGGACCTTCTCCAGTAAAGACCGATTCAGCCTCTCTGCCACTCCATTCTGCTACGATGTATGACTAACCATGAAGTGTCTCTCTATGCCCTCGTCTCGACATAGCTACAGAAAGGGGTCTGAAGTATATTCACCACCGTTGTCGGATCACAACGTCTTGATCTTTCTCTCAGCCTGCAGTACCAATCTCTTCTTCCACTCCATGAATATATCTAGGACTTCACTCTTCTTTGCCATGGTGTACACCAAACATTACCTAGAATAGTCATCAACGAACGTGATAAACCAATGTCGACCACCAAGTGATGCAGTCTTGGTAGGACCCTAAACGTCTGTATGCACGTAGTCCAGGATGCCCCTCGTCCTATGAATAGCAGTCCTGAACTTCACCTTCGTCTTTTTGCCAAGTACACAGTGCTCACAGAACTTCACTTTACCACTCTTGGCTCCCTTCAATAGCCCTTGCTTACACAAAGCCTACAGTGACTTCTCTCCTGTGTGCCCTAACCTGTAATGCCAAAGTCTGCTCATGTCCGCCTCTAAAATAGCCGAAGCAACCTAGCCAATCTCGAAGCTCCCCTTTAGATAATACTACCAGCCCTTATGTTTTGATGATGATTTATAACCACCATTATCGGTACTAATTCCTTGTTGAGTGATATTATACTTAATATGAATATCAAGCTCGTTAGTACCATAAATGGAGGATTGGATGGAATATGAGCTACAATGTCTATATCTAAAGGAGGTGGAGGCAAAGTGATGAAGCAATGTTTATCAAGAACACTTAACGCAATGAGAAGCTTCATCAACTCTAAAGTAATATCAAGACTCAAGAAATGTATTTCTATGTGAGAGATATTTGCTATTTTATTTTCTCTCTAGTACTTAAATGTAGGCAAGTAGTTGTAGATTTCATTTGAAGCTATTTGGGATATCACACACACTTGCATTGTTTCAAAACTCGTATTTTGGTAAAATGATGTTTTTCACAAATACGAGGACCTTTTTGTAAAATCTCTTTTCAAACAAGTTTGTCAAAATGTTTATAAACTATTCTCAAAGTTTTACATTTTTCTGAATTTATTTGATAATTTTTAACAAAGTTCAAAGTTGATATTTTCTGTGTGCATGTTTACGAGTCGACTCATGAACAATT